CCCAGCCCCTCTCCCACCCCAGCCCCATTCCCAGCCCAGCCCAGCAGCTCCAAGCCCTGACGTTTTCCTCTCTCGGTTGCCGGTTCCCGGAGCAGAGAGCCCGAAGGAGAGCTCGGAGCCCACGGGCTCCCCCGCGCCCGTCATCCAGCACAGCTCGGCCTCGGCCGCGCCCAACGGGCTCAGCGCGGCGCGCTCGGCCGCCGAGGCCGTGGCCACCTCGGTGCTGGCCCAGATGGCCGGGCAAAGGACAGAGCTGGCCGTGCCCGTGGCCTCGCACGTCATCATGGCCCCACAGTCGCAGTCTGCCGGCAGATGATGGCCCCGGGCCCGAGGAGCGCCCGCTGCGGCCGCACGGACTGACCACAGCCCCGGCGCTGACCGGCGGCGGCCCGCCGGGGTTTTTCTTTTTTGGGGTTTTATTCTTTTTTTTTTTTTTTTTTGTTGTTGTTGTTTTGTTTTGAGTTAAGGGCAGCTCTGGCGCTTTCCCCGCTGCGCAGCCCCCGCAGAGCCCCCGGGCAGGGCGGATCCCGGGATCGTGGGGTTAACACTAAACTCGGAGCTGCCCTGGGCAGGGCGCTGTGACACTCCGAGCTGTCCCGGTCTGCTCCCAGCCCCGTCCCCGCTCCCCGGACCGCTGCACCTTCGCCAGGAGCCGCCCGGAGCTCTGAGCTCCCTCCCCCAGCCCAGCCGTGGGTTTTGGACACGAGGGGAAGCGGGACTGCCCCGGCTTTGTGCCCTGGGACAAGGGGACAGCGTGGGGCTGGGGACAGACGCGTCCCCGGGCTCCCGGGGGCTGCTCCCAGGCAGGGGCTGGGAAAGGTACGGCCTGGCCAGGGCTGCTCCCGCGTTCCCGATGGAAACGGGGTCAGGACACGGGGCAGAGCCCAGCCGGCAGAGACACCGTGAGACCCCAAACCCGGCACCAACCCCGGCACCGCCGGGATCGCCTCCCGCCCACGGCACCTCGGTAACGGTGGCCTTAAATCATGGAATTGTTGCCCGTTCCAAGGGGAGGGAGCCGGGAACGGGGTCGGGCTTTGCTCCCACGGCAGCGTTTGGTCACCGAGCCTCCGTCGCTCCCCAGCCGGAGCAGCCAAAGGATCCTGGGCAGGTCAGATCCCAGCTCCCAAAATCCGGTCCCTTTTCCTGCACGCTGGGCTCTCCTGCGGCCGGCGGTGCTTCCCGAGGCTGCGGAGCCAGCAGCCGGGAAATGGGAAGGGCTCCCGCGTGCTTTTGGGATTTGGAAGGAATCTTGTCCCGGTCCGTGGAACTGCTCCAGCCCTTGGAATTCCTGCCCCTCACAGGTCCCTCCTCAGCCAAGCCCCCCCTCAGGTCGCACTTCGCCACTTTGGAGCCAGGTTGGTTTGTCCAGGTGATTCTGTTTGGTTTCCCCACACTTGGAAGGTTCCCAGGGACAGCAAAACCCAAAGCAAAGGCTGAGCAGGAGCCTGGGGTCCCGGCACGGGCGGGAAAGCCCCGAGATTTGGGGTTTTTCCAGCAGTGGGATCCGGCTTCTCCCCCTCCCTCTTGCCGTTTATCCTCAGCCGGGATCGGGACGGGGATCGGGGCTGGGGATCGGGGCTGGGCTGGGTTTGTGTTGCTGCTCCCGCGCTCCCCTTTTCCCCTTGCTCATCCCAGCTCCTCTCCGTGCCCGGGGTCACACCCAGCCCCGGGATTCTCACGTTCCCCGTTGCCACACCGCCATCGCCAGTGCCTTGAAAACTCCGCAAATCCTGGAAAGGTCGGTGGGAAAGCTCCAAACGTGGTCAGGGACAAGGAGGAAATGAGCTGGAGACAGGCTGGGCTGTAGCTGGGTCTGTTGTTGCTTCACTCACAGGCCTGGAGCTTCCCGTGCCCATTCCAGGCCTCTTTTACCCCAAAAAGCAGCCGCTCCTCACTTCGTGACCAGTTTTGGGGCAAACCCCCGCTGATTTCTGCCCCGTGGTGATTCCTCCCGTTTTCCCGAGGCTCCCGGGGCTGGCAGCCCCTGGCCCCGCTCGGCAGCGCCGGGCACCTGCACTTTGCCAGCCCCGGGGGTCCCGAGTCCCCTCCTGTCCCCGACCCCATCCCTGGAGCCGGGGGACATCGGGGGCTGCTCACGGCAGCTCAGCGGGGCTGAACGGGCTCCGTTAGGGTCGGGCCGGGGGAACACGAGGAGCGGGATCAGCTGGTGGGATTCGGGGTTTCTGCATTTTATCAGAACTGTGACTTTGAATAGGAACAAACGGCTGCGAAGCGGGGGAGCCCCACGATGGGGGAGCTCCTGCTCCTTCCCTCCTCTTCCTCCCTTTTCAGCCTCCAAATCCCCCAGGATTGGGCGGGGTGGGAAGACTTGGTGCCTCTTTCCCCCCCAGTCTGTTTTTTTTGCCCGGAATTCTTGGCTCAGGTGGGAATTGTGTCACTTTGGGACTGTGGACCCGTTCCTGCTCCCCCCGTCCCCCAGAACGAGCCCGGAGGTGCCGACGGGACACGGGAGGAGGGTCCCGGGCGTGCCCCCCACCCGCAGCTGCTTTGTGCCACGAGCTTTGACGATCAATAATGGAAGAAGCCAAAAAAGGACCCCCCAGTACCTGTGTAGTATTTTATCAGTCCATAGCGACGCGTATACGCTCCCATATAGCGCAGATCGGCCGCCCGGGCCTGGCCCGAGCCCCGCAGCCCCCGAGGGACCCCCGGCCCCGCCCGGCTCCTGTGAGCGGGTCCTCACAGCCCCCGCGGGGGCCCGGGGCCACGGGGGGACCCGGGGGACACGTCCCAGCCTCCCCAGCCCTCGGCCGTGTCATACCAAACATGTAACGTGCCTTTTATTTATGCTGCAGGTATCACATTAAAATATTACCCAGGAGCCGCCGGCTGCTGCCCTTTGCTGGGGGGGTGCGGGCTGGGGACACCGCGGTGTCACCTTGTCCCACGGACTCCCCTGGGTGTCCCCGGGGGCTCACGGTGGCACTGGACGGAGGGTGACACCCTGCCCGGGGGGAGCCGCTTGTGGGGGCACCGCAGTGGCCCGGGGCACCCTCGGGGGCGTTTTTTGGGGCGATTTCGGCTGTTTTGGGGTCGGGGGGAACCGCAGGAGCGCGGAGCGACCACCGGATGGCGACAGCGAAACGCGACCGGGCGAGGGGCGGGCTGGGGACAGGGAGGGGTCCCGGGGTCGGAGTGGGGACAGCACAGGGGTCCCGGTGTCGGGGGCGAAGGGCGGGCTGGGGACAGGGAGGGGTCCCGGGGTCGGAGTGGGGGGTTCGGTCTGTGGGGGAATGCTCGGGGTTGGGCTCGGGGGGTCGCACCCCGGTTCCCGCACTGCCGTGACCTCCCGTCCCCCCCCGCCTCAGGCCGCCACCGCTGAGCGCCCGGCCCGGGCCCACCCGCGGCTCCGTCCGTCCACAAAGAGCTCAGCCCCGAGCCCCCGCTCTGCTCCCGCCCCCGGGGGCGATGTGGGTCCTGCCCCTCTTCTGCCCCCCAAGCCCCCCCGGCCCCAAGCAGACGCCGACACGGGGAGTACAAACCCCCCCAGCTTTATTCCTGGGGGGCCGATGGCACCCGGGGACCCTCCAGAGCGGGGCGGGGGCCAGGCCGGAGGGAAGCCCCGAGGTCCGTGTGTCCATCCCCCGCAGCGGGGTCAGCACGGCAGCTGCGGCCCGAGGTCCGGGCGGGCGGGGGCCGCGGTCCGAGCTCCGGGCAGGGCTCACTTGCCCCCGGCCAGGGCTCACTTGCCCCCGGCCAGGGCTCACTTGCCCCCGGCCATGATGCGCAGGTACTGCAGGGCGTTGCGGGCGGCGTGGGCGCGGGCGCCGTCGCGGGACGGCCCGGTCCCGTGGCACACCGTGGTCGGCTGCGTCGACAGCTCCACCAGGCACTGGTGCAGCCCGCTGAGGCTCAGCGCGCCTGGGGGGGCACAGCGCGGTCACCCCGGGGCGGCTGCGGCACCCGCGGGGTGCCCGGGGCGGGGCCGGCGGCGCTCACCGATGTCCAGGTAGCTGATGGCGAAGCTCTGCTCCTCCGAGAGCTCCTGCAGGAGCGCGCAGGCCCCGCCGGGCGCGGGGGCCGCCCCCCGGCTCCGCAGCTGGCCCAGCTTCTCGCCCGCCGAGTTGCGCAGCGAGTCCCAAGTGCAGCCGGGGGCGCGGCCCCGCAGCCCCTCCAGCCGCGGGCACGTCTGGGGAGGGGGCACGGGGCGCTCGGGGACCGTCCCGAGCCCCCCGAGGTGTGGGAACCCCCCCCGGGAACAGGGAACGGGGGGGACACCCACCCACAACCCCGAAGCCATCCCCTATGCGCCCTGGGGCAGGGGTGCAGAGGGGCGCTCTGGGGTGGCCACGTCCCTCCCAGTGTCCCCAGTGTCCCCAGTACCATGTTGAACTGGTCCTCCTCGCCCTCGGCCTCGCTGCCGTCCCGTGGCTCCATGGGCACGTTGTGGATCCGCACCAACATCTTGGCGGCCGCGTTGCGCTTGGCCAGCTTCTTGGAGGTGCCGCTGCCTGGGGAGGGGGCTCGGCGTGAGCCGGGACCCCCCGGCAGCGCCCCCGAGACCCCCGGGGGCCCCGTCCCCCTCACCGATCTCCACGAATCTCTCCACGCGGCACGTCATGGTGAACTCCTTGCGGTGCGCCGGCCCCGACTCCTGCGTCACCGTGTACTCGGGCAGGCGCCAGCCCTTCTGCACCACCAGCTCCTGGGGACAGCGACAGCGACACCCCGGCGTGGGGACACGGCCACCCCGGCATGGGGACACTGCCACCCCGGCGTGGGGACAGGGTCACCACAGCACGGGGACAGCCCCGCAGAGGCCCCAAAAGGCGGGCAGTGGGCTCCAAAGTGGAGGTAACCAGCCCAAAATGGATAACCGGCCCCAAAAGGAAGATGACTGTCCCCAAAAGGGGGATAACCCGCTCCAGGATGGGGATAATGGCCCCAAAATGGGGATAATTGTTCTCAGTATGGGGATAACCACCCCCAAAAGGCACATAACTGTCCCCAAAACGGAGATAACCAGCCCAAAGCAGGGATTATGGTCCCTAAATGGGGAGAAGCAGCCCCAAAATGGAGGTAACTGTCCCCAAAAGGAGGAAGAGCCCCCAAATGCCTTCGTGTTTCCCCCAAAAATGGGCAAAGTCACCCCCCCAAAGGCCGTGTCCCCCCCACCCAGGCCAGGTCATCACCCCCAAAATGGGAATGGGTCCCAAACCGGGGGAGGGGGCAGATTGTTGTCCCCTCGTGTCCCCCGCAGTGTCACCCACCTGCAGAGCCCCCACAGGGTTACACTCGGACTGGGGGGGGGACACCGGCGTCTTCATCTCCAAGGGGGGGGCCCTGTGGGGGCAGGGGGCTCAGGGGGGCACCCGCGGCCCCCTCGGGGGGCACAGAGGGGTGGGGGGGGTGGGATGGGGCACGGGGACCCCCTTACCTGGGCGAGGGGGGGGGCGCAGCGGGGGCCGGGGGGGGCGCGGTGGGGCCGGGCTGTGCCGGGGGCTCCGGGGGGAACGGAGAGCTGGGGGCAGGGGGACGTGTCAGAGCCACCCCCCCAGGCCTTATGGGGACCCCTGACCCCCCTGGGAACCCCCAAACCCTCTTAGGGACTCCCAGACCCCCCCAGACCCCCTTGGGGACCCCCAGACCCCCTCGGAGACCCCCAGACCCCCTTGGGGACCCCCTCAAACCCCCCACAGCTCACCAGACCCCTCGAATCCCACAGGACCCCAAAGGCCCCTCTGGGTACCCCAAACTCCTCTGGCTGCCCCCCCGGCCCCACCTGTGCTCCAGGGGCTCCAGCATGGCCCCCCCCCCTCTCAGCAGCCTCAGGGCCACCTCGGCCGCCTTGTGCTTCGCCGCCTTCTTGCTGGGACCCTGCCCTGGGGGACACCGCGCGTCAGGGGACACCCCGGGGACACCCCGGGACCCCTGCCCACCTCCCGCGGGCCCCAGGGACCCCCCAGCAGCACCCAGCTTCTTGGGGATCCCCCTCCGTGTCCCCGCCCCAAAGCACGGGGGAGACCCTCGGGGACAGAGGGGGGGTCCCAGCCTGGGGACAGGGGTTTGGGGTCCCAGCAGCGCAGGGGGTGTCCCCGAGGGGACAGGAGGGACAGGGCTGGCCCGGGCTGGATGTGGGGGCTCCCGGGGGGTCCCCGGGGGTCCCACCGGTGCAGCTGATGTCCCCGAGGGTGACGCGGAAGGTGAAGTTGGGCTGGTGGGCCTGGCCCTCGGCCTTGAGCAGGTCGTAGCCGGGGGTGCGTCCTAAGCGTGTCCCATACTCCTGCAGGAGGCTGATGGGCGTCTTCCCGGGGCTGGCGGCCACCATCTGCTCCAGGCTGGGGACAGGGGACACGGCTGTCACCCCCCCTGCGGCACGGCGGGGACACCGAGGCGTGGGGACACTGAAGCGTGGGGACACCGAGGTGTGGGGACACCGAAGCGTGGGGACACCGAGGCGTGGGGACACCGAGGTGTGGGGACACTGAAGCGTGGGGACACCGAAGCGTGGGGACACCGAGGTGTGGGGACACCGAAGCGTGGGGACACCGAGGCGTGGGGACACCGAGGCGTGGGGACACGGCTGTCACCACAGGGCTGGGGCAGGGCTGTCACCAGGGCGCAGAGGGGACACCGGGCACTGGGACGTGAGCACGGGGGTGGCACCACTGGGGACACAGACAAGGGGTGGCACTGCCATGGAGTGTGGGGACACGGGCTGGCATTTGTGTGTGACGCGGTGACACAGGGACAGGGATGGAGCCCCTGCGCTGTGTGGGGACTGCCACGCGTGCGGGGACACGGGTGGCACTGGGGACACGGGTGGCACTGGGGACACGGGGACACGAGTGGCACTGGGGACACGGGTGGCACTGGGGACACGGGGACACGAGTGGCACTGGGGACACGGGTGGCACTGGGGACACGGGACACGGGTGGCACTGGGGACACGGGGACACGAGTGGCACCACCGGGGATGCGGGCACAGGGATGCCACCGCCACACGCCACAGGGACAGCCCTGTCCCCCTCCCCCGCCCCGCACGGGGCCATCCCCGGGTCCCCCCGCCCCGTCTCGCGCCCCCCGCGCCGAGGCCCGGCCTAGGCCGCCCCCTCCCCCTGCCCGCCACGGCCGCGGCGCGGGGGGGCTGCGGCTGTGCCGGGGCAGCCCCGGGCGGTGCCGGGGGGCGCCGGGGGTCCCGGTACCTGGGGAAGGCGCCGCCGCTCCGCCGGGCCCCGCCCGCCCCCTCCTCGCTCATCCCCGCCGCTCCGGCCGCCGCCCGCGCCGCCAGGGGGCGCGCGGCATCACGGGAGCGCCGCGCGGCGCGGGGGACTCTGGGAAATGTAGTCCGCCCTGCGCGGCCCGCACCGCGCGCAGCCGCCGTCAAACCCTGCGGCGGACTACGCTTCCCACAACCCCCCGCGCCAAAAAGAGGGCGGGAAGGTGGTGGAGGCGGTAGGAGGGGTCACGTGGTGCTGGAGGTGGGGGGTGGTCCTGCCTCAGTTTCCCCCCGACGGGGGGGGATGGGGGACAATGGGGACAATGGGGACGGGGCAGAGGTGGCGCTGGTCAGAGTGGGAGCGTTGGGATCACACCGGGAGAACTGGGGACGGAGGGACACCCGTACTGGGAACACTGGAATAAGATTGGGAGCACTGGGCTCGAAGGGACACCCGTACTGGGAGCACTGGGATCGCACTGGTGCCCCGTGTGCTGCTGGGCCGGGCGGGCCCGGTGCCGCCGGGGCCATGGGGGCACCGCCGCGGCCGGTGCTGGAGGTCCCGGTGCCGGTCCCGGTGCTGGTGCCGGGAGGTCCCGGTGCCGGTGCCGGTCCCGGTGCAGGTCCGGGAGGGGTCCCGGTCCCGGTATCAGAGGGCTCCTGGTGCCCATGCCGATCTCTCCGGTACCGGGGGCGGTCCCGGTGCAGCATCGGGGTCCTGCTGCAGAATCGGGGCCCCGGGGCGGAACCAGGGCGGTCCCGGTGCCTGTGCTGGTCTCCCCCGGTGCTGGATCGGAGTCCCGGTGCGGTATCGGGGGTCTCGGTGCCGGGGGAGGGGTCCCGGTGTCATTCCGTGGTCCCGGTGTCGTGTCGCGGTCCCGGTGCAGGATCTGGGTCCCGGTCCCGGTCTCTGCGGTGCGGCGGTTCCCGGTGCGGTACCGGGGTCCCGCTGCGGTACCGGGGGGGGTCCCGCTGCGGTACCGGGGTCCCGGAGCGCTGCCGGGGGGGGTTTCGGTGCCCGTGCCGGTCTCTCCGGTGCGCGGGGCGGGGCCGGGGCGGGGCCGTTCCCGTCGGGCGGGGCCGTTCTCGCCGCTCGCCCCGACCGCGGCCCCGGCCCCGGTACCGGCCCCGCCCGCCGGGCCCAGCCCCACCAGCACCGGCACCGCCGGGACCCCCCCGGCACCGGGACCCCCCCGGCATCACCCGCATCCCCGGGCGAGGGGCCCGGAGCCCCCCCAGGTACCGGCACCGGCAGAGCGGGGAGAGCGGGGGGATGCGCCGGGATGGGGGGGCGGGGGCAGCACCGGGGATGCGGCGGGGGGGGCAGGACCG